TTTGATTGGGTTGTTGCTTGTGGTGTTAAAGCAGCAACAGAGCCACATATGGAGATGGAATGCTTTCCATATTACCTTTATGCACACCTTCTAGATTTCAGTCGCCTGAAATCTTGAAGAGCTCTAAGACGACGAGTGAGAAGGGTTTCCGCTCTGGGGAGGAGAACTAAAACACAAAGGCCCCGTTCGCTTCGCTGAAAAAACAAGCCGAAACATTGTTCCGGCTAATTTGTTGTGAGAGAAAAACACTGTTCCGACTAAAAAAAACAAGTTGAAAAATACGGATTATAAGACAAACGAACAAGGCCAAACTATTTTCAGCGACGAAGTCTTTTTAGGGCAGAGGTGGCTTAGTTAACAACCGTCTTTACATATGTTTTCATCGATTCCTACTAACTGAGCCACCTTTAGAAATATATTTTTCGACATGGTTGTTTTCCCTGTCACCTCTGAAAAAACCAATTTCTAGAGGCAGCTGATGTCGTCCGTTTTTAGAGACGACTGAGATTTCTAGCTGCCTCTAAAAATACATTTTTTGAGCTGGTTGTAATTAGAGTTGTCTACACTAATGTTTGCAGTATAAATTATAGCCTGACCAAGTTGAGGCGGGCGCAGAACGTCGAGGCGGCAGGGAATTACCACCAGCTGCAGGAGAAGGAAGATGGCGGTTGGCCAGGGAAGGACGGGGAGGAACAAGAATGGTCTGACATGGTATGCATCTAACAAAGCCTTGATGACTCAAATGTAACCCAAGTGCTAATTAAGCTAATTTATGTTGATTTTTTAAAAAGATTTTCAATGTAGTATATGTATAGTTATCATTTGTGAAGTTTTGGCCAGTGCATGCGTTCAGAGACCATTTAAAGGATGTGGCACAGACCAGGAGTGGCTACCTAGTAAAACTAGCTAGATAGATATTACAATATATATTGATTATATTGTAGAAATTTAAAATTGCTGGCCTAAGTAGCTGCATAACTATGATTGTGATATATGCTTGATTTAAGTATGTTTGCTTGTTGTCGTGTACAGAAGGAGCACGTATATATGATCGCTTTTTGGTGTGACACGGAGCCGCCGCCATCTTTAATCTGTGCTAGAAAAACAAATGTAACCTAATCACGCGGCTCCAAAGCTTGTCGGAACAAGAGCATGCACGAGTGGAATCTTTGGCCACAAAGTGTGTATGCGTAAAACCTCCAACAATTAAATCTGACCTTTGGGCATGCATGCAGCACTGAGGAACAAGTCTTTTGCTAAAGTGAAGCTAGCTAGCTCATACATGCATACATATATAATGTTCTGATTTCTGAACCTGTCAGTCACATTGCCTTGTTCTAGGATACCTCATTCTGAACTTCATTTCTTGTATGTATATAGGTATGGATGAGGCGATGGGCCTCATTTACTTTAGATCCATATATGACCCATGGGCCTCATTTGCTTGCTGGCCCCTAATTAACAGGCAAAGCCGAAATTTGGCCCTGCCCAAAAACTTGGTCCCCGTTTGTGTTGAGTGGAGTCTCAGAAAAAAAAAAAGATATGGGCTCAGAGGAACTTATGGAATGGGCTCATATGGGTTCCATTCTTCTTGAGTAGACATATCTTTGCTCTGCTAGTTTCGGTTGGGTCTATCCCGTGGCTTCAAACAATGTTGCTAAGAAATTACTGGTGCATTTTCTTGAAATATTGACAGAGCCTGTCAAATGAATGCAATAATTCCCAAAGAAACCCTTTGCATTTTGGACAAATAAATCAAGCAGTCATACCGTCCTGTAGCCGTAGATCTAGTGTATTGAGCGTGTTCAATTTAGTGTAACCAGTGCCAGCCTGTGGCTTGAGAATTCAAAGGAGCCTAAATTGTATTATACAAGGCCATGAAGAGATAGCATGTCACCTCATCTACCCATACGCCACTAGGAAAGCGTTTCATCTCTGGCATGCTTAGCTGCTTTGTACCTTTGATGCACATTTGATGTATATTGAACTGCAATTGTGAGTGATTGCTTCATAGGTGTCATCCATGTACAGCGTGTTCGGCTGGGGCTGGCTAGGCTGGCCAGCCCCCTCATAAAAACATTGTTCATCTAAACCAGCCAGCAGTACTTCTCTCTCACATAAACGAACCAGCAACGATACGAACCAGCCAACCGAACAGGCTGGTAGTTGCAGGCAAGGACATAGCTCCACCTATTAGGGCATGTTTGGTTGGAAGCCTGGATGACTTGCCTAGAGAAAAGTGTTGCATGAGAGTTGCCTGGAATTCTGAGAGAATCTGTCTGGCCAGGCAAGTTAAAGAGTTATTCGATTTGGTTAGATGCCCGGCCCGAGAAAACTAATGAATATAGATCATGTGTTTTCTTCTTTGCTGGAGAGGTAATTAATTAATTTTCTTAATTAATAATACATCAAATATACACAAATAAACATACGGTGACAAAACAAAAACAGATAAGTGAGTTTTCTTAATTTATAATATGCTTAAATTAATGTGTTTTTTTATTTATCTTTGTATAGTTAACATGTATTTTTATAATCTGATTAACCAAAATATATAATTTAGTAAATTGTTGTCACGTGTTTAATATTAGATAATCACGTTTAATAAGATTAAATAGGAAATATATTGATAAATTATGTCTTTTAGTATAATATATGATTTTAATACTTTTGACTAAATAATGTGAGGATAAATAAAAAATAAGTAATCAATATAAGAAATCTTAATCTGGATTTGAAAAATTATATAAAATATACAAAAAGTTTTTACACATGGTTGTGAAAAAAGAAATAGAATATGCCTGAGAAGTTTAATAAAAAAGAAAATATATTTTCTTCTATATAAAACTTTAGCATCATTCGAGTAATATATATTATTATAATACAAAAATAACATAAATAAAACCTTTAATAAAGTAATATAAATATAAATACTTTTAATATTTTATTTTCCTAATAATTCATTCATATGATTAAGGAATAAACAGAATAAAATGTACTAAATGTATCTCGGTTGCACCTATCACACATGAACAATAGGAAATAGAAATAAGAGTTTCACTCATTTCATCAAGGAACTATAGCGTACGACAAAGTAATAATATAAACAAAGGAGAAAAAAGCACTAACAAGACAGCACTACAGTAGCCCACCCAGGCAACATCGGCGCTGCACCTAGGCGCTCGTTTTCGGTCGCCTCGCTGAGGCTGCCCTTGCCTGGCCCAGTCAGCTATCCAGGGCACAGACAGCACCAGGCACCTCTTCACCTAGGCAAATTTGGTCCAGGCTTTGAACCAAACAAGCCCTTAGTTCATATGATTCAGTAGTGGCACTACCTAAGGGCCTGTTTGTTTCCTACGTGGAACCAAACTGCCTGGGCGAAGAGGTTCCTGGAACCTGCCTGTGATTCGTTTGGTTGATGGACTGAGAGATGGTGCCAGCCCAGGCAACGCTGTCCAGGTCTGGCTGGGGGCGACGCTGCCTGAAGCATTTAACTGTGATTAATTATTTCCTATATGGTCCTCAAAAGCACAACGTTGGTGCATTTGCTTCTCCGTATTAATTTACATTTTGACATTATCATAGTTAATTTCATTAACAGTAAAGTAACTGTAGAACTGACCTTTCTTATAGCTCACTGAATTTAAATTGGTAAAGCATAATATTAACCTTTATAAAATAGTTTTTCTAAATTGTTAATTTTAATCATATGTAAAGTAAGAAAAATGCACTCATCTATTTTATTTTATTACCATATGTTTATTCGTGTGTCTAGTTAAGGTATTTCTAATTAAGAAAATAAATTGATTGCTTCTTCATTAGACAAGAAAACATTCATTATTTATTTGTTAGCTTTTTCAGGCCAGGCTTCCAACCAAACAATCAACTTCCAGCTTGCCTGGCCAGGCAAAAATTTTCAAATTTCCAGGCAACACTTTTTACTATGCAAGTCATCCAGGCTTCCAACCAAACATGCTATAAATAACTAATAGCTGGATAAAACCAGCCCTCTGCATGCTCTCTCTTTTAACTGCTGATGAGTGCATTTTTGCTTGCCAATGAAATACCAAGTAGTCTGTGGTACAGTTCTGACTTCTAAACTGTGGCTTGAGAAAAATAGGAATGTATTCATGTGGTTTCTTAAATTGTGAACACATGGGACGACTGCGATTTTTCAGCGATAACAGAAATTTCCATGCTGTTGCATTGATTATTGAGCACAGAGTTTGCTAGTCAATTAGGAGTACCTTGTTACTGATATCTAGGTTTCTGGACCATACACACTTGTCTGATTGCAATCACCCATTCAAAATTGAATTCTGCAAGGGAGATTAAAAACTGAAATACACTGAACATGCATGTGATTGTTTCCCTTTTTGTTGTACTTTTAGTATTTACTTTCAAGAGCATCTATTTTGTTGCATCTACAGTGTGATGTCAAACAATATCAACTTTTTATTTTTTTTTCTTTTGAGAAACGTTAAATAATATCAACTTTTTTATGAGAAGGCGTCAAAAAATATCATCTTTTTTTTTTGAGAATTATGAAAAAATATCAACTACTAACAGGGGTTGGGACTGGAGCCACGCCACCCATCAGGGGCGGACTTGGGCCCTGGGCTGGGGTGCCTGCAGCCCAAGGCGCGATCCAAAAATATTCAATTATAGGTCTTCTCTACAGCCCAACTGAGCCCAGGAAAGTAAAGCTTCAGCGCCACCCGATGCTGTCCTTTCTACCTTAGCCCGACTCCCCAGACTCGGAAATAGGACGGACCTGGGGCTTTCCTAGGGTTAGGCGACCTCGACGGCGAGGGATTCCGACCTCCTCCTTTCGATCTCGTGCGCTCCCCAGGGGCGGTGTGTTCGGGCTGACCAAGGGGGTGACTTTGCTCACCTACCCGGCCTTGGCGCATCGTTCCTGTGCAGGTTCATGCGAGGTCTGTGTGGAGGTTTGATCCGTGGCGGCAGAGAGTTCGAAGGCCGGGGAGAAGAGGGCTGAGATGGAGGTGGACGAGTTGCTCAAGATGCTCCAGTTGAGTGAGGAAGAGAAGGACGGCGTGGTGCTGGCAAAAGAGGACCGGGAGAACCTCCCTGCAGTGAAGTGGATGGCGGCGGCAAAACTCCTCACAGCAAAGGAGTTCAGCGTGACCTCGCTGGTGTCCACCATGCGTTCGGCGTGGAACCCAGCCAGGGAAGTGACCTTTCGGTCAATTGGCAAGAATCTGTTGGTTGTCCAGGCGTTCTGCCTGGGGGACTGGAAGCGTATTATGGAGGACGGCCCCTGGATTTTCAGGGGATACGCATTGATGCTTGAGGAGCTCGACGGATCGACAATAATCCCCAGCGAGATGCCAAGGTGCTTGGTTGGATCCAAATTCACAAGATCCCTCATCTTTTTCGCACCGAAGCCATTGTGAAACAACTTGCTGCGAAGGTGGGGGAGGTGCAGGAGATCGAGATGAAGGCAATTGCATCGAGGACCGGGGACTTCCATCGAGTCCGGGTGAAGCTTGCTGCTGCAAAACCCCTGATTCGGGTGGTGACCCTTGCTCCCGAGGGACAGGTCAAGATTTTGCTCCAAGTGAAGTATGAGAAGCTTCCTCGGTTTTGCGCCCACTGCGGGCTGATGGGACACGTTCATCTCGAGTGTGGCGCTCGGGAGTACACGGAGAAGGATCTTCAGTTTGGATCGTGGATGGTTGCTGATGCGGAATCTTGGCACCCTGGCACGCCGAGGTTCCGATCCTTAGCGCCAGGTGATCGGGAGATGCCGAGGGATGGCGGCGGACGTGGTGGTGTGAAACCAACACGGGGTGGACGTGGTCAGGTCGGTGGGCGTGGTGGCCGCGGTCCCATGTGGAAAGCGAAGGCGACTACGACGTCTGAATCAAGTTCCAGGAAACGAACCTCGGCAGACGTCGGTGATGATAACAAAGATGACAAGGAGCTGGATGACATGGCCTCGAGCCCTGCCAAGACAGCCGCACAGGCAGGCGTGGGGGAGGAACCACCTACCCCCCACCCCCCCACCCCCCCACCCCCGGAATATAAATCGCCGAGGGAAATCAAGCGTGCAAAGAGGACAGAGGAGAAGAAAGCGACGAGTGCAAAGGACATTGATGGGGCGGGCTCCCTCGAGGAGTGCCGCCATCCCCAATGAGTTGCTTAAGTTGGAACTGTCGTGGACTTGGCAACGCCGCAACAGTGAAACAGCTTCGCGATTTGGTGGGGCAGGTTGCCCCTTCTGTCCTATGTGTCCAGGAGACTCAAGTACACAAGGTGAGGGTGGAGCAACTAAAGTCCACGTTAGGTTTTGATTTTGCTTTTGCTGTAAGCAGTTCGGGCCGCAGTGGTGGCCTAGGAATTTTTTGGAAGAATAATATTAATCTGCAGATTTTACCGTACTCACAGTATCATATTTATGCCATTGTTCAAGAGGGAGATCTAGAGCCATGGAGATTAACTTGTGTGTATGGGGAAGCAAGGACTAGCGAGAGGTATAAGATGTGGGATTTACTGAAATTCATCAAATCTTTGTCTCCTCTTCCCTGGGTATGTATAGGTGACTTCAACGAAGTCCTCGACGGATCTGAACATGTCGGTGTGCAGGAGCGAAGCAATGCCCAAATGGAGGGCTTCAGGGAAGCCATTGATGTGTGTGGTTTGGCGGACTTAGGTTTTGAAGGAAGAAAGTGGATGTATGAAAAGAAGGTTACCGGCGGATCTTTCTATCGGGTTCGTTTGGATAGAGCACTGGCCACTGCTGATTGGACCATGCGTTATCCTCTTGCCAAGGTTCGGCACCTTATAGCGGCTGCTTCGGACCATGTCCCAATTACTCTGACTTGGAGGTCGGATGAGCCAAGAAGCACAAGAAAGAAGAACTTCAAGTATGAGGTCATGTGGGAAACCCATGAAAATTTCTCACCCACATTGGCGGATGCATGGGGGCGGCCGGAGTCATCAACAGTGCCTGATTTACAGCGCAAGCTGAAGGATGTCAGCGGTCAGTTGCAGCGCTGGGAGCGATTGTCTTTCGGTAATGTGCACTGGGAGCTTCGCAAGTTAGCAGCCGAGTTGGAGCAGCTACAGTCAGACCCGCGTAGAGTTGGACCATCTCATGCTGAGCTGAAAATCAAGGAGCGTATTGTGGAACACAGGTGACCTCGGCGGTACTGCGGATACTGCAAGGGGATGATGATCCTAAGTTGATCAATGACACGATCCTAGTGTTGATACCGAAAGTTGATAATCCGGAGGATCTAAGTCAGTTCCGTCCCACCAGTCTGTGCAATGTAATTTATAAAATTACTTCCAAGGCTGTGGCAAATAGACTGAAGGTGATCTTACCTGAGATAATTTCAGAAGAGCAATCGGCTTTTGTACCAGGCCGGATGATCACAGACAACATAATCACTGCATATGAGTGTTTACACTTTATGAAAAAGAAACGGGCCAGGGATCAGAGATGCTGTGCACTCAAGCTAGACATGCGGAAGGCGTATGACCGGGTCGAGTGGCCATACTTGAGAGCAATTATGCTTTGGCTGGGCTTTCATCAGATCTGGGTGGAGATGATTATGAAGCTGGTCACATCAGTTTCGTTCTCAGTTCAGCTCAATGGTGACTGCCTGGAATCTTTTGTGCCGACACGAGGAATTAGACAAGGCGACCCGATTTCACCGTATCTTTTCTTGTTAGCAGCAGATGGTCTTTCGTGCCTCTTAAAATCAAGGAATCAATCATCAGTGCTCAATGGCATTAGGGTGGCACCGTCAGCTCCGACGGTTAACCACCTACTCTTTGCAGATGATAGCCTGCTTTTTTTCAAGGCGGATGGGGCGAGTGCTCGGGCAGTGAAGGATGTGTTGGGCATTTACTGTCAAGCTTCAGGCCCAGCAAATTAATATCGAAAAATCCTCAATCCATTTTGCTAAGGGTTGCAGCCAAAGCTTGAGGGAAGATATCAAGGATATTCTTGAGGTACAGACCGAAACATTGAAGGAGAAATATTTAGGCATGCCATCAGATGTGGGCTCATCGATAAATGGAGCTTTCAAATATTTAAAGGATCGGGTTTGGGACAGAGTTCAAGGATGGATGGATCAATGCCTTTCAGCTGGTGGGAAAGAGGTTCTCATCAAATCAGTTGCTCAAATCACTGTGCCAACATATAGATGGTTTGTTGCGCAAATTTTGGTGGGGGTGCAAAGACGGTAAGCGGAAGACATGTTGGGTGGCGTGGGATGACATGACTCAACCAAAGGGCATCGGTAGTCTTGGTTTTAGAGACATGGAATTGTTCAACCTTGCACTCTTAGCGAAACAAGCATGGAGGATTTTACAGGATGGTAGCTCGCTGAGTGCCAGGGTGTTAAAATCGGTCTACTTCCGAGACAAAGACTTTCTGGCAGCTGAGATCGGATCATCACCCTCTCGTATTTGGCGCTCAGTTCTTGAAGGCCGAGAGGTGTTGAAGGGAGGCCTGATAAGGCGAATAAGGGCAGGAGAAACGACCAGCATTTGGTCGATGGATTGGCTACCGTCAACTGGATTGAGGAGGCCAGTTCCCACCAATCGGGTTGACCCTCCTCAATTGGTCAGTGAACTTATAGACTCAACATCGGCGTCCTGGGATCGGGAGAAGCTAATGGAATTCTTTATACCGACGGATGTGGCTGTGATCACAAGTATCCCACTCAGTACAAGGCGACAACAGGATTTCTAGGCCTGGCACTTTGAGAAGCGTGGTCTCTTCTCGGTCCATTCGGCATATAGAATGCTTGCACACCGTAAGTCTCTAGCTGGATCGGCGGGTGCCTCGAACAGACAGGCTGTGCAGAAGGAGTGGTCTATGTTGTGGGGAATCAAAGTTCCCTCCAAAGTGCGGGTGTTTTGTGGAGACTTGCTAGGTGTTCTCTCCCATCAAAAGATGTTCTCCTCCACAGGAACATGTCTGATAGCAGTGCGTGCTCCATCTGTGGCGCTGGAGATTCATGGCAGCACTCTCTCCTTGAGTGTAATATGGCTCGCTGTGTCTGGGCGCTGGAGAAGGATGAGATAACTGAGCACATTTGTCGTATTGACGATCAGGATGCAAAGGGCTGGTTGGCAGCAGTGATGAAATCTTTGGAGCATGAGGACCTAGTCCGGGTCACCGTGACCCTTTGGGCTATTTGGTATGCTAGAAGGAAAGCTATTCATGAAGATATTTATCAAAGCCCGCTCTCGACTCATAATTTTGTCACTAGTTTTGTGGCTGATCTCCAATTGGTGCAACCAAAAGTGTAGGATCGACCCGTTGTTCAGAGCAGCAACACTTGCTGGATTCCTCCCCCAACGGGGCTAATGAAGATTAACATTGATGCAGCCTTGGCTAAGAACTCAGAACTGCATCATTGCTGCAATTTGTTTGACGCTCTCACTGGACGCTTCACGAGGGCCTCGGCGATGGTGATGGAAGGAAGCTTGGAGCCGAGACGGTGGAGGCGATATCATGTAAAGAAGGCCTAGCTCTTGCTAGCGACTTGCTACTTCAGGACAGAGTGGCATGTGACAATTTGGAGTTGTTGCAAGCATAAGTGAAGGTAGTATGGGCTCTTATGGGCACATTGTCCAAGAAATTAGAGCTAGATCGAATGATTTCAGAATTGTTGAGTTTCCATGAGGGGAGACGATCAAATGTTGATGCCCATAATCTTGCTAGGAGTTGTATCTATGCTAATTTAGGGAGACATGTTTAGTTTGTATCTCCGTCTGATGGCGTCTGTACTTCTTATGAAGAATAATAAAGGTGTATTCTGCTCAAAAAAAACTTAGCCCGACTCCTCGATCTACTCTCAACAATTGCTACGCCTCCCGGCATTGCTTGCATTTGATGACTCGTGAAATGTGGAAGCATGCCTTCGATCGGGAAGGCGATCAAGCTTGCCATAAAGGTTTTTTTGGGAGCGCGACTGCTCTTCCTCCAGTCCGACGAGTTCGATCCAGCAACCGCGGGCTTCATCGAGCAAACAACTACTTCCCGGCGACCACTCGAGGGACTGCACTGCGAATCTCTTTCTATGTTGCGCCTAGATCAACTACTTCAAGCAGGCCATCATGACCAAGTCTGATGGTAACGTTGTTCCTACTGTCTCCGGCTTGGGTTCCACCCAAGCGCATAGTCTGAACTCAACTTTGGCGCATATGTTGTTGTGCGCTGTGAATCTGTAGCAAGGTTTTAAATATTTGGCTATGCCTCTTAGCTCAGCTATAGCCGGAGATAGCTGCGGCTAAGCGATTTAGTTGTTTTTGCCAAAATCAGAAAAATACACAGAAACTTGAAATAACCTGATAACTATTACTAATTGATAACCATTACTAAATACTAATTGATTCATAACCAACAATTTATAGAAGTACAGGCACAAGATGATCTTAAATCATTACTGAATATGTCTACAAGGTACAAGCACAAGATGAGATTGCAAGTGATGAGCGGAGAAGAAACTTGCTAGCAAATTGCTTTGCCATGATATATGCCATTAGTCATGCTGCTTATGTAGGAACAGAACTTGGAGTTTCAATGGTACCGTGGCCGCAGCCGCCCCTAGCCACCTCTATCACTTGCTGCCGTCGCACCGTTGCTTGGGGGAGAGGAAGAGGAGGGGGGGCGCGCCGCCACTTGGGGAAGAGGAAGAGGAGCGGGTCGCGCACCGCCGTGCTACCACCACTTTGGGGATCCAGAACTGGGCGTCGCCACCATATCCTGTTCTATCGTCGAGAGGATTGGGAGAGAAGAGAGCCAAGTGGGAGAGAGAGCCAACGGCTAAGGGCTAGTGTCATTTGGGCCGGATGGCTGTGCGATATTGTGCCGTCCAAATACAACTATCTCCGGCTAAATCAAGGTCCATTTAGCGGTATCTCCAGCTAAATACAGCTATATTAGTGTCTATGATCACTTAGCGCTAAAACTAAAAGTTGATTCTCCTAGCTGTTGTCTTCCCTAGCAGCGCTATCTCCGCTATAGCTGCAGCTACAGTCAGAGATTTAAAACCTTGACTTGTAGTAGGATCTACTTTTACCTTGTTCGGTAGCAAATCTGCATACGCGGTGAATGGATTGTTCATGCTATGTATCATTTCCGATTAAAGCACGTTGACTAAATATTCAACATTT